CCCCAAGATACTCATGGTAATTGTAATTAAAGAATAATTCAACATTTTGGTAAATTTACCTTTTCACTTTCCTGCTGAGAGTTAGATGAGAACAGCAACAGCACTCTAATATCTGTCTTGTTAAACATGAAGCTGCAACTAAGAGACAGTAAGCTTAGTTTAGCATAAAGACTATCCGTTTCCTGTCTTTAAGATAAGCTAAAGGCTACTGGCTCCAGCTTCACAATGAGCGAACGAGAGCGATGTAGACCTTCTTATCTAACTCTATGCAAGAAAGCACATTTGTCAAAATGTCAAACTCTTCCTTTAATGTGTAGTAGCTGTTTGGTAAGGGTCTGCTGGGTGACAACGCCTGGTTCACCGGTATGTTATCAAAATAAAGGTCCCATTTAAAGTTGTTTTCTCATCTTACGCTGAATTGTAAATGTTACAATGCTTTGTGTCTACTGGCACTCCAGAGGAAACATACTGCACTTCAAGGAAATATTACACATCGAAACACAACATCTTTGTAAAACATCCTTCATGACTTTGTACAAGTACTTCAGAGCAACCAAATTAAATAAAATACAATAAAATAAAAAAAAAAAAAACACAATTGCAAAGAGGCAGTTGAAATGAGAGGAAATGACAAAACCATCAAGGGTCGCAACCGTGGAAAAGACTTGAGGTGAAACTGCCGCCCTGTTATTGAACTCCGTGACTGAACGGTGTCGTCTGAGGTCATCACAAAGCTTGCTTGCAGTTTGCTCCCTGCTAAACGATGGAGATGAGCTTTCAGTCTCTGCTGCGGTGTCAGTGATTCATGACACTTTTGCACGTGCAGGTGGTTTTTAAAGTAGCGACTTTCAAACATCTATAAAGCATGTTTATGAAGGCATTGCCATGTCTGATGGGAGAAAGATGAGTGTGATGGATTTCCTTCATTGTGAAAATATATGTGTGCTGAGATTATGCACCATCGTTGTATCATCTTTGGATGCCTCCACTTAGTCGTTATTTACCACAGACAGGCCCAGTCCGATGTAAACATATGCTGAGCGTTTTTTGAATGCCATCAATAAAGTAAAATATTTGATTGAGTTTTCTTCCCTTTTATCTCCAAAATCCATATTTATTTGGTCTGTCGTCAGGCTTCCTTGGTGCAGTGTTCTTCACGGTCTATTATCTTTGGCCAGGGAGTGCATCATCCAGTTGACTTTCGTCTTCCAGCTTTCCCGCAGAGCTTCGTTGAACTTCACCTTAAAGTTCTTCAGTGCCTCTTCCTCTGATTTGCCCAAAGCTAAAGAGTCCTTTTGAAAAAAAAAAAATAAAATCATTGTTAATATTATTATCATCCTCATCATGATCAGCAGCAGCAGCACCATTGTTGTTGCATACCTTTAGGTACTGGATGTCTTTGAAGGAGGTGAGCTCTGGCAGTCCTGCAGCCTTCATCATAGCAAAGAGGTTGACGAACAGCATCCCGTTACGACACAGGATCTTATAGGCCCGCTCGCAGTACTCCCTGAACCTGACGACATGATGCAATACTCAGTTTTAGGTTATAAAATACACAAACAGAATCCTAGATTGGTAAACAGGCTGACACAAAAATATTGTACCTCTCAAACTTCTCACTGTTGTTCGTCCTCCCTTGTTGGATCACATGGACGAAGTCGTAAGTCAAGATAAAAGGCACACGCTCCCTGTTGATCCCCAGCTTCCGCTTGAAGTTGCCCAAGAAATGCCCAAAGTCGATGTGGAACAGCTGAGGAGCAAAGGTGAAAGTTACTTCTGGGTTCTGAATCACTGACCACAGTCAAATTTGTCAAAGACTCACTAACTGGTAATGAGTGACCTGAAGGATTTCACTCCAAAGTGACCAAATCTGACACTCAGTTCAATTTGAAAGTTAAAGTAAAAGTCACCCTGTCTTGGACGAATAATGTGTTTGTCAGTGTTCTGCTATTATATTATGAAGCAGATCACACTTATTTCCCACTTTATGTCTAATCGCCCCCTTGTGGTAGATATCAGTGCGTCATGTGATGAAAAATATCACAGCGGTAAACTCTACCTGTCCAGTTTCCCTGATCATGATATTGTCGTTGTGACGATCTCCGATGCCCAGGACGTAAGTGGCTACACAGTAGCCAGCACAGGACAGCGTGAACTCTTCTATCGCTGGATCAAGTTTGTCCCTGGTGATAAAACAGGTCAGAGAAATAAGGAAGCACAGCATGAGTGGGTTTTGTTCTTGCAGTACATTTGCACTTCTTAATCATATAACCTGCCTAACTACAATACACACACACACACACACACACACACACACACACACACACACACATACACATATACATAGTAATGAGGCAGGGTTTTCTCATTACTGTATGAAATATTGACAGCAGAGGTTCCTGTTTAATGATTGACTTTCAGGTCCTTTCACAGTCTAGACGTGCACTGAGGTTCACTGTGCTAAGCTTTTAATACTTTTCTCCGCTCCATTGCGGGCGCTGCAGCATTTCAAGCTCATTGTGTTTCTGGTCTGTCGCGCAGTCAGCTGGGCCTGTCTCGTCAACGTGATGTACAAAGGCGTATTCATTACAGTGAATGGTTCTCTCTTTCAGAGGAACTTTTAGAATAGACCAGACCTTCAGACTGTCTTCCATTAAATAAAAATCTATGCACTTTGTGTTGGTCTGTCACGGTTTTAAAATGCCGCACACAATAAATACTTTGAAGTTAACTCTTCAAACCACACACAAAGACATTCAGAAGGCATTTCTGAAAATATAAAACATTAAAAAAAACACCTTTATACATAGATTGTTTGAAAATATTATAGTTAATAATACAATGTTTATATTAAGTGAAATATTTAAATGTTTCTGCATTGAATACCACAAAACAATCCCCAAACCGCAAAAATACTACGGGATCTTCATTAGAATTTAAAATTCGTCCCATAATGTTTTTAATGAGCATATCATTCACCTTTAGTATTTTTAATAACAATATACCGGTAATGAATGGCTTAAAACACACTATAATGTTGTTTTAAGCAGTTATAAGAACGTTTTAAATGTTAACTAATGTACAGTATTTGTTAGTTAATTATAACCTCAATAATTACAACCTCTTCTATGAAGACATACAGTATACTAGTTATACTTGATGACAGATACATCAATCAACAATTAAAATGTCCTTGCATCTTTTTACACCAGCATTATAGTGTGTTATAAACCATTTATGAACTGCTTTTATACTGTTAATAAATAATATAAAAGGGAGAGGATTAAAGTTAAGTGTTACTGACTAACTAAAAATGTCTGTACAAAACAGAGCCAGCGGATGTGGCACATTTCACACTTTACTGTGTTTCAATTCCCTATACTATGAAAATTACTTTAGGTGGTATTGTTGGTGCACTTTTAGAGTATTGTTTTCACACATATTGCGGTGCTGACATGTGATGTAGTTGTTGACAAGAAATCAAAATACTTCACCATGTTCAAATAGCAAGAAATAATACAAGTCGTGCATTGAGAGACGTCAACGAAAATGCGACTTCATAGTGTCGATTCAAACTTTACAAACAGGAAATAGAAAATTAGTTTGTGTTGTGTACACTACATAAAAACAAAACATAATTAGAACTAGTATAAGTATTCTGGGGCACAGCTTATGAAAGAGCTGGCCTGGCAGCAGTTGGGGAATCCCCCCATGATGAGGAAAGTTATTAGATATAAAAGCCATTTGGGGGGTTTTGTTGATCATGACTAACGATATGAAATTGGGTGGATGGTTAAAACTCTGTGGCTCTAAACAACGTCTGGTGTTGTTTTCATGGGGCTTGTAACCATTATGTCAAAAGTTGTTCGTCATACTCACTCAGGATTCTTAGATTTGAGCCAGTTGAGCAGGGCATCCTTGTTGAAGGCAGCGGTGGCGGCACTGGTACTGCTGTTACGCTGGATGTTGGCAATGGTGTCGGAGTTCTTCACAACCTCAATGAGCCCCATCTTGTTCCCAGTGGACAAGCAGCCATAAGGGATCATCCTGTGAGTGTGTAACAGTATTAGGTTGGTCTAGCGGTGCTCATTGTTGAAAAGCATCAACAGCTGCTGCAAACAGCTGCTCCCACTGTACCTGAGATCGAGGCCTTCTCTCTTCCATAAATTCTCCATAAGCTGGATCATCTGGAGGGTCAACATGTCTTGCCGAAGATCTTAAGGTGACGAGTGAAAATTGGTGAAAAAAAAGTTAATTTCACGTGTCACAAAAGATATATCACATTTGAATTTTTTCTAAACGTCCTCTTTATTTAGAGGACATCCCCTTTCAAACCTGCTGGGTATCTTTATCTTTACAGTGCATTTGAATGTAAGACCCTCCCTGCATTTTAACGCTTCAGTGTATTCCCTTTGTGCTAAACTAAAGTGAACTACATTCTTGGCACTGTGGGCTACTGTATGATATGTACTGAATGTGTGCTGCCATGTCTTCCAATTGTCTTGTATCTCACCATCTCCGTTCTTGAAGATGATGCCCACCATGTCTCCTTCAGCCTTGTGGTTGTACATCAGCCAGAGCGGCTTCATCTTGGAGTCCATAAACCTGCACTTGTTTGCACTGCAACGGCAAACACAGTCAGTATAAACACTTAATCATTATAACCACACAAGGTTCATAGACCGAGGACTGAGGAAAATACAAAATACATTGCCATTTTTAGGTTTTTACCCTGTTGACATTTTACTTTTTGAGTTGTTAAATGTTTATGTCCCTTGTGGGCTGCTGTCAGCAATGGGAGAATTCTGTCCAAGGCAAAAACAATGCCCAAGGGGATGAAGATGAACAGTTCAGGGACAGAGTAAAAAAATAAATGCACCATCGTCATCTGTAAGGCTTTTAGTGGTTCTAAAAAAGTACAAGACGGCATTAAGTATAGTTCAAAATAAAACAGAGTCTACTGGTACTGTAAGGACTAAAGGATAATTTGTCAATATGCTACGTAAAAGTATTATTTTGTAATTCAGTAAACCGAGAGAGGGACCAAAACTGGCCCTGAGAATCCAATTAAGGAGTAAAAAAAATGTAATTTGTTGTGTGTGTGTGTGTGTGTGTGTGTGTGTGTGTGTGTGTGTGTGTGTCTGGCACTAACCAGATCTCAGAGAGGATGATGCTGGGGTTGAGTGGTGACAGCAGGTCTGACAGGGCCTCAAGGTAGGACTCCTGTCTGATACACAGCTTCAGGTCATCTGCTGTCATCTTCTGGGAGCCTGACTTGACAAAGTCACTCAGGGCCTTCATTTTGCCCAGAGCCTCGTTCTGTGTCGGAGAGGTAAGGCCGCGATTTAGTATGAAACCAAAACACATAATTTCAGATCTTGATGTCAGTGTGTGTCAGTGTGATGAGATTACCTGTTTGGTTAAAAGCCTGATGTGGTGGATGTTTCCCCTGCAGTAGGCCTCCAGAATCAGGCCAAAACGCAAACTCACAGAAGCCACGTGAATCTCTGACCTACAATAAACACAAATGCTCCCATCAAGTAAAACAGGCTGAAGATGCACATGTCCCAATCTTGTGTTTTTTTGCTGGACTGCGACTCACCTGAGATGCCAAAACAGAAAGTGTCCTATCCTCCAGTTGGACAAAGCCCTTTCTAGCAGGAACGTGGTGAGGTCACAGTCTAGGTAGGACTCGTACTTCAGGACCTGCACCAGCTGGATTAAGTACTGTAGCAGTTCATCGTCACTGTGTGCAGAGAAAATGTTGCATAAATGATTACGCTGATAAATGTGCGATGTTACATGGACGCAAGTAAAAACCTGAACATGTGTGTACCTGAGCTTCCTGAGGCATCTGATTGTGAAAGAACGGACTGCTGGGTCGGGAAAACTGTAGTCTAAGAGCTCCAAGGCATGGATGGCTGGGAGGTCCCGCCAGTTCCTCAGCAAACTAACCATCTGAGGAGAATCAGATTACCATTTTCTACCATGATGACAAAAATTGAAACTTTCAGGTGTTTGATGACAAATATAGCAAATATAATACGTGAAATTTGTGAAAAACAAGCAGGTCAAGTCATTAAGCAGAGACAATACAGATAATAGTTTTGTATATAGTGAGGATTAAAATCAATTTTGGACTTTTCCCAGGAGTTTTAAGTGAAACTCTAAATTCTTTTAAAAATTAGGGAAAAAATCTAAAAATTAAAGATTATTAAAAAGTAAATTCTCTTCCAAAACTCTCCACTTATACCTGAACTACGTCCTCGCGCCGATTCCACTTGGTGACGAGGAGCAGCTTGGACAGACTTTCATGATAATGGTCACGGACTTCTGTTTGGAGCTTCCACAGGAGCTCTTTCTCGTCCTCGAAAAACTCAGTGTGGTTTTTGTTGTCCATGATTTCTTTTAGTTTCATGTACTGCAGAGAGCAAAAGACCCAAAACATATATTCATAAAAAAGATGTGGTCAGCAAGTAACAGCTACTGTTTTTATTGTACCTTTAAAAGTGTGAGAATGGGAAAGTGGGAAATGTAGAGTCTTACCTCTTCTTTTGTGACAATAGCTGCATCACCATTCTTCTCCATGTCACCACTTACCTGATAACAGATGAGGATATTTTCACTGACTGTAATACAAATGAAAATTTCACTATGTACTCAAATATAGCCTTTTGAGAATAGCTACCTTGTCCAGCGGAGGGTAATAGAGAGGATGTGGCCGGATATTAGGGAAGCGAATGAGAAGCCCAGCAGCACTGTCCACATTGGGGTTCTTCTCGACTGTTCCCATTGGGTTCAACAGGTCGCTTTTGTCTGTGATAAAACAAACCATACATGTGTAATTTGTTAGATGCTTTAATCTACTCAATAAGAGTATTTTCATATTCAAATAACTCCCATATCTCTAAAAGTGCCTTCCAAACTGCAGAGAAAGATAAAATCAATTTAGTGAATAAAAATGTAGCCACAATTGACATGTTTTGACAACAACAGATAGCTGTGGTTTCCAAATATTAAAAAGGCTATCTTGTGCATCAGAAAATGCATAATGTGTAAATACGTGGGGTTTTGAATGGCGCCACGTGTCATTTTTCCTGTGGTGCTGCCAGGCGCTGTGGAGGAGGCTGTTAACATGTGAGGTCTTTTCGAAGACGAGGAAATGTAAGGATGGAGAAGGCCTGAAAGTACCAGGAACAGATGGCCATGTGGACAACTGGAACTCCCCAGTCTTCAGCTGGTCCTTGTAGTCGAACACCATGGTGTTCACCCAGGCTATCGGACAGTCCTGAGGAGAGGAACAGGGAGGATTAGATTTGTTGATTGGCCATCTTGAAGACCATCTGCAGGCAGTACAATCATGTGAAGAGGCAGCAGAAGAGCAACACAGAGAGTATTCTAATGTTCAATCAAAAATTTATTTTCTTTAAAGATAAAGGATTATCATCAATACATCTAAAAGGTATTGAATTATCAAACCTCTGTTGTCTAACATCTGCTTTATTTTAGACGTTCATTTGAATTTAAATAAAATAGCTTAAAGAAAACCTCAATATTTTAATGACATAAAAAAGTTAAAAGGGTGTTTGTGGCAACTTTTACTTACAAAATATATCATGTTAAAAAATAAAGCGATAAAAAAAATGTACATGACAGTGACAAAGCAACAAGAATGGAAATAAGATCCAGGCAGAGAAACAACTTGACCATTCAATGTGTTAAAAACAAACACATTTAGGCTGAAAGCAGCCGGCTAACGAAAAAAGAGGCGATGCACAAAATGTGAAATGCACAAGAGTGGCTAAAATAGCTCAACTTCTGTCTGTCTGCAGAACTTCTCTTCCAGGCAAAAGAAGGGAGAAGTGGCTCAGAAAGCAGAAGTGGCCTTGATGCTCATAAACACACCTGGGCACCATGTTTGAGCGAACCTCAAAAACACGTTGCCCGTAGTCGCTGCAACGCTTTAACTCAAGAGAGGCTGAGAGCCCAGCCGCAGAATAAAGGCGACTTTATTGTTGTTCACTGTACTTGTCAGTGTGCAGTGAGTGGGTGTGTCGTTCTCTCAGTGTTGTACTTCTGCTGTTGTAGTTTTGTGCAACAAAAAAAAAACAAGTAAACAGCAAGAGGATGGTAAAACCTTAAACTCAGTGTGCCTCTATTGGCATATTATATTACTAATAGTGGCATGATGTAGCATGTTTAAATTTATGAATGTAATTAGGGCTGCAACTAATAGTACACTTTTATTACTGATAAATGTGGCAATTATTTTCCATGAAATGTCAAAAAGTTGTGACATTTTCCCCAGAGCCCAACATATAAAACCGAAACAAGCAGCAATTGTTTGGCATTTTTGTTCAAAAAATGACAATTAATTCGTGATTAAAATAGTTACACAGTTTTCAGGCGTCTACGCTAACCTGTCCCCACTACAGGCCTTAAAGATGAGAAGCGCATTTAAAGGCGACATGCTCAATGGGTGGAACAGTTGTAACTACACGAATGGTCACTGTGAACACAAATTTAAAATTCCTTGAAAATGTCCCTTCCCTTCTTGGAGTGATGTACAGATAAAAGCGTTGAGGCGGATGAAATGTTAACCGCAGCACTGCCGCTGAACACACTTGCACAACCAGACGCAGCAGCAAAACACACCCACACAGCACACACTGACTACACGCACTACACAACAGAGAGGAAACAGATCTGTTTGTGCTTGCTAACAAGTTCTCACCCTGAGACGGCATGAGTTTTTGACAAACTCACCGCTTTCTTATTCTTCTTTTTAGTGCCGCGGGGTTTCTTGGCTTTCTCAATGACTGCATAGAGCGCGAAACACAGGCGGCTCATGCGAGGCAGGTCAGCCACGTTTATGTCGAACTCCAGCTTTTGATCCCATAGTGGCTCAGAGCACACTGTCACCTCCGAGGTTGTCACTACCTTACAGAGGAGTTCGCTACCATGGAACAGACCGGCCTGCACCACGAGCTGGAGGGGGAAACACACGTACACAGTGATTAGAAGAGTTTGTGAGGTAAATTGTATGTGGAAGGCTTACAGACTTCAAGAGATGATTTAGAGTTTCCTGTGTCACTCAGGCTATGAGTCAAAGGGTCTACACATTCATAACATAAGCAGGTCGCGACACCTTTCAATGCAAGTCTGTCCAAAATGATAAACAACCACCAGAGCCAAAATTCAATATCGTACAGCTGTTAAGCGCCTGCCTTTTGCCAAATCAAGATAGTCTGAATCTACATTCACAAAATATATGAGTGGCTATTCTCCTCCAGGGTGTTTTCAAACCTCTGCCTGCCAGCTGCAACATGACTGATAATTATGTCACAGGACAAATTTGCCATGAGTCATGATGCTCTCTAAGGCAGCCGCCGGAAGTGCACTTACACTTAATAACCCATCTAAACAGTAACATAGTTAGTTATGAAACTGAATCACAAACACAGACACACATTTACAGACTATCCTACTTCAAATTGGCAAATTGGTTGAGGAAAAGAAAAAGTGAATATGGAGTTTTACTGGATATTTCTACATGCTTTTCATTTACAGGGAAACGTCCCTTAACAAACATTTTAACAAACATCTGTCTGCGATAGTAACAGAATGCATCGCCTTAAAAAAAAAAAGAGGTGCACTGAAAGCGAGGAAGGGAGAGACAGCATGCAGTTTGTCAGTTTTCTTAGAATCTAGGCCTCAGAATGAGATGTCAAAAGCAGATAGGCCCTCCCCACTTCCTGTTTTGAAGTTTCAACCAACCGCCTTGATGAATTATGGGAAACGTGTGGTCTGGACCATGTGACCCCCTGTCATTTTCATGTCGACCCTGCTGTTACAACTGAAATTCAGATATTGGTAAACGAGTGAATGCCACATTTCATTGAGCATCAAACCCACGCAAAACCACACCAACCTTCATTCCTTCGCCTGCATTGACTCGGCTGCCCTGCAGCAGGTGAATGTAGAAAGGCTCATTGATGGACCACAGAGAAGAGGTATTCTGCTGCGAGGAGTCAGAAGAGAGAGCATTTTTATTTTTTTACCTCCCTTTCTTTCCATTAAAAATGTTCTTCAAAGTCTAAAGTCAGGAAACTGTTGCTACAAGTTCCTGTTTGTCAGAAACACAACAACGAACACTTAAAACAAAAAGTGAAAAAGGGGAACAAACTGACAAACAGTCCAAAAGGTACTTTGATTAAGTTTGAAAATGTTATTCTTTACTGCTCATATTTCTAGATTTCATCGATTGATTTTGCCAGTGCAGTACCAAAGTAGGTAAATTGTGCTCTTTGTTAAACTACAGTAAATACAAGCAAAGGTGTGAGGCGTAAATTATCAACATTGTGTTGCACAGCATGCTTCAAGGGTTCCAAAGTCTGCAGTCTGGTTGAGGAACAACTGTGATGAGCAGAGAGAAAGAAAGAGTTGCTGCTCTGTTAATGAGAGACGACAGGCGTCCGCTGAACTCTTACCTTCTTCAGGGGCAGTGGAGGAGGTCTGGACAAGGAGCGACTCTTGAATACCTGGCTGCACTTTCTGCCCTGCTCCTCCTGATATTTGTGGATGGTGGAGTGGTGCACCATGGTTAGGTACGGGTTTTGGCCATTTCTCAAACAGGAGAACATGTACTGTAAAAGAGGACAGAGACAGACAACAGGAGGGGACAGAGTGTTTTGTTTTTGTACAGCCATCAGTCAGCCCACCCACAGATATTTCCCAGTGGTCTGATAGCACTGGTTAACTCCTGGAGGCTGTTCATTCGCTGTAGGTTAATGCAACCTAAATCTCATTATGTGTGGATGGATGCAGTTCCTTTCTGCAGGGCTGCTAGACAGATATGAGTCACCGCTGCAGGTAGCTGGAGCTTCAAAGTCAACAGCGGAGTCTCCTGCCACCGAAACCTTGACTCACCCCACTATCGAGCTGACAATCATTTTAGCTATTATGGACCACCCGCACAGGGCAGCACTCACAGGCACAATGTAGACAAACAGCATAGAAAAGAAAATCACCCTCATCCACGAAGAAAATAACAGCTCTAGTTCGTATAAAAAAGTGTTCTTCATCCTTCAACACAAATGTATCGCAATCAAACACAAGTTTGACTGCGATACAGGATAGAGGGTGAAAAGAATGCGGCAAAATACAAAACTATCATGTAGGAAAACATGCATCAGCCTGAATAAGAACCGGGGAAAGAATCAAATATGAACAAAACAATCAAATATGAAAAAGGCAGCTGTACAGCTCAAAGACGCCGTTGCTGCGGTCACTCACTTTAAACTGGTGCATGGGATGTTTCCCATAGATGAACTCCCACCTCCCGTTGACCTGCAAAGTGTAGTCTTCGGGCTCCTGACGCAATGAGCGAAAGACCGTGGCCTTCTTCTTCAGGGCGCTCCTCATCAGAGCCACTGGGAGGTCTTGAAGGTCCTGCTGCAGCATGAAGCTTTCCTGTGAGAGACACATTAATACCAATAAAGGCACCAGCTTCACAGAAAATCACACAAAAATGTAGCTTTCGTGTGAGTGGATGTTGTTCCTGAGAGACGTTTTGAGGGTGGTGTTTGTGGTGTGGGAGCGGGATTTCCAAAAGGTGCTCACATTTACTTAAAATCACCCTTTGATTCGTGTAAACCTTTACAAATATGACTCATACAAACTACAACAGCAGATCAACTCACATCACAAGCCTCAAACTTGACATTGATGAAAATCTTCTTGGCGTGTTTTGACTTCACACTCCCACACTCCGGCGGGGAGCAGGATGGCTCCAGGTCACATGGGAAGCTGTATTCCATCCACTGCTGCCATGGCAACATCTGCCTCTCCTGAGCCTTCTCCTCACAAAACACGCGCATCTTTGTCCGAAACTCGTTCACCTCGTGGTTCTTCTGGGCCTCGAACTCGTGCAGACCTGAAAGAGCGTGACGAAAGCGTAAACAAATGCAAGTCTTGTAAAGCGAGAGGAACGCTTTGCTTTACTGGGCTACCTGAGGGCCGACCATGTTTTTAATTCGTCAAGCTACAGCGTCACTGACTGCCTGCACTGAAGCCTACTGAATAAAGCAAAAGTCAGTCTATTATGAAGTCAAAAATGTTACTGAAGCTGGAAAATAGAATTAGCATTAGTTAGCCTAGCTGTGCTCCATTTTCAAGTTAGCTACATTAGCTCATAGCTAGCGAGTAACTTGTCAACCTTCCAAGATATTGAACATCATGAATAAAAGCAAAGCTGTTGTTAACTTGCTAACTGCTCCAGAAAATAACTGTAATTTGATTCTTCCTATTAAGGTTTTTACTTAATCAATGGGAGGATTTCTGCCTCCAGAGCAGCTTTAACCTAGTCTATAACAAAGATGGTGAAATGGTTTACACTTCCAGTCTCCTAAATGTGCGACATCACCCCCCCCCCTCGTTTGGAAGGGTTGTGAATGCTGTATGCATGGATAAAAGCAGATTGGGTTACTTTGCATTGTGTATTTATATTTTATTTTGCTAACATTAGATATTCTCTCAACTAACAGACATATTTAGCATGAACATTTGTTAGCTAGGGCGTTCGCGAACGTTAGTTGCCAGATATCCTGATTTGTCCGTCTGAAAAAAGCCATTTCAGTGTCAGAGTGTTCGGAAGATATGTGGCTTGTGCAAAATGGGTCCAATATTTAATTTGGGGATTATGGAGCCAAAGAATCGGTCATAATTTCTGTTAGTGTTCACTTCTCCTATTAGACTTAATAGACTAAGGACCTGCTGCTAGTCTCCTAAAGGGGCAGGGCAGTGGCGAAACCCTCCAGACACAAATACAGGAAACGGACTCTCAGTGGGATGCCTCTGATCTGATCTGTCTCTGATGATGGATATGTCAGCGATTATTGTTTAATGTCACACAGAAAACTGCTGACATGAACACAATAATGTCAGATTGAATGATGTAGTAAAACAGCAATTTGGTCCGAAGTTGACATATTGTGTCACTTCATTATTGTATTCAATATATTTTATATTGTAATATTATAATTTCATAAATGATTCAGTACATTCATATTATCTGTTTGCATCAGTGGGTCAGAGGACTGGAATAAAGCTAACCTCTCATCTTCCTTTTGATGACAGAGGACTGCTTCTGATCTAATACTTAAACTTAACCTTAACTCAACCATACAACAACACCACAAACCACACAAAACCTGCGTATAGCACCTGCTCAGCTCGATCACAGAAGGATGCTGCTAACCTTTGCCAATTAACAGGCTGATTTGGGTGTTGGTGAGTTTCTCCACTCGGTCGCCCTCCCTCGCCACCAGCCTCAAAACGCACATGAAGGGCCGCACGTCGTTTATGCGCCTCGATTCTTCTTCCAGTTCCTCCCTTTCGGCCGTCTGGTTGATGCAGGTGAAGACGTATGCGTCGGGATCACCCAGTGCACTGAACAGGGCCTCGCTACTGGCATTCTTCCAAACCATCTGAAACAAGCGACACCAGCAATACACGAGGTTGAGAGCGCAGTGTTTATGTCCAAAACAGTGTGCGGCGTATTCTCTGGGACTATATAATGTATGTAAAACAAACTTTATCGAAACCAGTGTCATTACTATTTTTATGAAGTTGCTGTGTAAGAATAACCACCACTCTGATTTCTCTCGTTTTTAAGAATGATATTCAAGTGGGCAAACAATGACCCTGGCAGTTTTTGAAAATACAATTTGGAAACACATTTAATCTCTTAATCATTTAAAATGCTTCCAAGAGCGTCATTACTTAACACAGCTAAATCAAACAGCCTTAAGTGGCAAAGCTGTTGGCATAGAAACTGGCACATTCACATTTAACAGCAGATCCAGCAGAGAGCTGGCCGTGTGTACCAAGGAGCAAAGCTGTAGCTCCTTCTCTAATAGTTGCATCAAAACTTCAAGATGCATCAAAGGCACAAGCGAGGATTGTTCGGACTGGGTCATGTTTTAATTAGCCTAATGTCTTAAGTCGATCAATTTGCTTTCAAGCATATTAAGTAAATATTGTAAATAACAGCATTTTTTGCAACGGTGGTCACCAGAACCGCAGCGCTGTACTGTAGTCAATCAAATGCATTCTATCAGAAACACGGGTAAATGCAAAGCATGAGTACATTACACATGATGTGTCAGTGCATGGCGAAAAATACTCTACGAAGGTTGTTATGATCTCTCAAAGCGGCGGCTGGTAATTAATTAAATGGGGAAGTGAGGGGACTTACTTTTTTGATGCTCTTGATGGTGTCGCTTGGAGATACAGGGAACTTGAGGAAGACCCCAGTTGGCAGCAGGAAGTCCATCACTATCTCATGGTCCCCCTCCCTCTCCCATTCCTCCAGCATCCCATACTTCCCCGGGGGCATGGTGACGGCCTCTCATTTACCGTCAGCTCCTCTGCTGCTCACCGGAACACAAGCCAGCCGTCCACACAGAGGAAACACAGCCGGGGTTAATATGTCTACTGTTAACATAAGTTACTAGGCAGTGTGTTTGTTGTTTGTTCCTAAAACCCTGAATGATCTATCTTTACAAGGTTGTTTATGGGGATCAGAAAGCACATGCAGAGTGTGAATGACATGAATGAATGACTTGTTTCCACCAGATCCCGTCCTCCACCTCCTCAATGTTTAATGTCAGAATTTCAATAAAAAGATATAAAATGGTAAACTGAGGCGATGGTATCGAGATTTCTTTTGTGTGTGCTTTTGGAGTGCTATCATTTATGATCTGCAGTCTAATACCTTTAGTACTTAATTCATACATCTCCACCTTAAGAGACTGAATGCTCTGTCAGAAAAAAAAAGTGCTCAGAGGTAAAATGAGGTGAAAACACACTGCAAAGAATATTCAACCCACTGAATCAAACACACTACAAAAAAATACAACTTATTTGGATTATATGTCCTGCTTCCTGTAAATATATTCAGCTGACTGTACAGACAGAAAACATTGTATTTTGAGTGAGTTTGCCATAAAGTAATTCTACACTATTGATTTTGGTAAAAGGAAACTTATTAGCTGAATTGGCTGTATCTTAAAACCAGATGTCGGCTGATTTACGCCTTTACTTACAAATATATTTGAATATATATTATATATATATACATATACACATATATATATATACATATATATATATACATATATATATACATATATACATATACATATAACATATATACATATACACATATATATATATATATATATATAACATATATACATATACACATATATATATATATATATATATATATATAACATATATACATATACACATATACATATACATATATACATATACACATATACATATATACATATACATATATACACATATACATATATACATATACATATATAACATATATACATATACACATATACATATACAACACATATATACATATACACATATATACATATACACATATATATAATAACATATATATATATATATATAATAACATATATATATAATAACATAAGAAAAAAAATTAAAATCAGCGATGGGAAAGACAACAGGTGCACACACACAACAAGTCCGATAACCTATAAAACGTGATATTTTGCTGTTTGGGTAAAAGTTAAATATCAGACGCCTTGCCAACCTGTTAGCGCAAACACTTGCCTGTCAGCTGTACAAGCCGGTTATCTCTTCATGGTTCGAATTCCAGCGAAGATGGAGGCTGTAACATCACCGTGACATGTCTCGCTCAGGCGGCTGTAGGCTGCGGATGTATCCGCGAATTTGAAACGAGGTGAGGTGTTGGAAAAAAAAAATCCGTCTCCAGAGGACGAAGCGCTCGTCACACGGCTCATGTGAAGCGGTGAAGTGTTTCCCTGCGTCGGTCAAGTGCGCCGTCATTCATGCAGTGACGGTGCTGCACTGACCCGCACTGAGCGGCTGCGCTCTGCTTCTCCAGCTCCCAGCGGGCCAAGGGACCGTCCGCCAAAACTTTAGTTCCCGCGAAGTGAAACCTATTTTTGTCTCCCTCTCTCTCTCCCTCTCTCTCCAACTCCCGCCCGCACGATTTGTCCTGCCGGGTCCGGCTTCTCAAAACGTGATGATGAGCTGCTGTAACATTGTATTCTTAATATATTTGTTATAACTAAAGTACTGTTCTTAAAATTTGAGGCACTTGTACTTTACTTGAGTATTTCTATTTGATGCCACTTTATACTTGTGTTCCACTACATATATATTTTCAGCTATAAAGATTTTACATACAGATCAAATGAGTTTATAGAATATGAATCATTATGTTGGATGCGTTTGTGAAGATTAAAAACTAAAGTTCAACCTCGACAATACAGCAGTACATTGCATTACATGATTTTATTAGTACTAATGTATTATATAATAAAATAACACATCACAGTGGCCATTTTTCTGCATTGAGTCCTTTTGCTTAGGTGACCTGTTCAAAACATACATTTTACTTGTCACAAAGTGTATGTTTTTTTTTTTTACTTACAGGATCTGGAAACAATTCCTCCACTGCTGTCCACATCCCTAAGATATTCAGTTAACTATCATATAAAGAACTATTACGAGTTGTTTGCTTGCTGTGTTGAACTTTGTGAAAAAAAAAGATGAATACAATAGTACTTTCTTAGACTCCTCCACTGTATTTGGACTGTTGTTTGGATAAAAGAAGCATTTTAAAGAAGTCGCTTTGGACACTGGGAAATTAGAATCGGCCCCGTCACTTAATATATAAACAAAATGATTATTAGATTAATTAAGAATAAAAACAGCTTAATAATCAATCATGAAATTGTTTGTGACAGCACTAATCTTATGTTGTTCTCTATTCAAGGAGACCATGCTCATTGTGATCAGATTAAACCACTGCGAGGTTCACGCGTCTAACACACCCAAAAATAGACCAGAGGAGTCTCCTAGTTTTCAACATTCTGGCAACTAGTGTCACTTAAGAAAGTCCAGCCCTCTCTAACATAACTGTTTTCATATCAATAAGAGGAGGTTGAATTGTGCAACCTCTTGTGCATTTAAGGATGTGCAACCAATCACAAGAGAGAATATTTTAGACAAAAAAAAAAAAAAATGTACAATTGGTTTATTATTGTCTTCCAAATGTTACATGCAGGTAACTGTACATTTGCTAAATATATGAATACGCTATTTTGTGAAAGATTAAACTTTACAATAACAAAATGGTTTGTGTTACCCCTAACGTTCATAGTTACCCTCAGTGAACTTTACTTTTATGCCTTTGTTTACCTGGAGTTTTCAAGGCACAGATGTCTGTAATCAAACTTAAACTCTTTGATGGGAAACCTGCTTTCCCTTTTCATATTTCCACGTACCAACTATAGGACCAGCGACAATTTTAGTTTTGCAGCAATTAGTGAGCAATGACTCCACTCTCATGAAAGTGGAACATAAACCACAGTAGTACCGTAGAAAGGGGAAATGCAGGGACCAACATCAACAGCATGACATTACCATTTACTGTCATTTCCTTGATGCACATGAGTACATCAATCATTGACTTGAAATCTACGCCGGAGCAAGACACATCCCAGTAAATAAAAACACGCGTATTATTTGTCAGTTTGGTGTGCAGGTGTTAATCCTTCATATGAACACTAAACTCTTGGTGGTCTAGTAGCTCTGGTAAAAACAGGAAGTGAGTGTACAGAAGAGAAACCTTTGGCTAGAGCTGCAGACTGAAAGTATGAACCTGCTTCCCACCCTTCAGTCAGTGAACTGTTATCAATAAAACCAGTAAACAGGTTTTGTGTGTCAACACTACCTGCTTTGATAGGAACTCTGGAACCACAATACTACATGTATGTGGGTCACAGAGTTCAGATTATTTGTGCTGGGATTTAATAAACACAGGTTAACTGGAAACCAGCTGTTATTTTAACACACAACAATACAACTGTTAGAGTAATTAACCCTTTTCAGTGCAGGGTTAGGGTTAAATAACAACTGGGACACTCTAAAAATGGGAGATTGGACAAAAAATAAATGAATTGTACGGTCACCAAATAATTAAGACGATATATTTACCCTGACAATAAGTGAGCACATTAATAGGTTTGTCACGTGATATTCAGATGCGTGACCTATTTACTGTCTTTGGGCTTACCCGCACTGCTGTGGGGGAGGATTCCTGGATGAGCAGTGGTCTGGCCCCAACAGCCACACGGAAGTAATAGTCAAGGTTTTAAAAAAAAAAAAAAGAAAAAAGTACTTTATTTATGTTTAAAAAATCATTTTTTCTGATCATGATTTAAAAGAAAAGGCTTGAAATTGTGTTCAGACATTTGTGTTCCACAGAAAATGAAACCTACGTAACGACCTTTTGTCTTTTTAGCACCATCATCAGGTTAATACTTCAATTAGTCCAAACAAAAGGACCAAATACTTGAAAACTGATGACATTCCCACTCGGTGTACTTGGCGTTTGGTGCTAATTAGCAATTGTTAGCATGCTAACAAGCTTAACTAACATGGTGACAATACCTACTAATCATCATTGTAAACATGTAAGCATTGAGCTCAAAGCACCACGGTGCCTGAGAACTTGCTAGCATCACTGTAAATTCAAGTAAACTATATTTATATAGCTCAATACCACAAATCACAAATATGTAATCACTCCAATGTTGACTCGTAGGTTTTCGCCTCCCCTTGAGAAGGACAAAGTGATTAAGAACGGTCAAACTGGAGGAATATACCTTTTTCACAGCAGACATTTTGACTTCTCATAGTAGGAAAAACACAGGCGAAAATGAAAACATTAACAATGTCTGCCTTAAAAGAGATCCTCTGAAGGTGACAGACATGGGGAGGCTCTAATCGACCAAGCAAAAGCGTATGTAGCAAACAAACGGACAAGTAACTCAGAATGGAAGTGCTCACAAGGCGAGTTCATGAAAACCAGAAGTGCTCATCTTAGGTTAAGGAAAATAAACGAGGTAGTAATCACAGCTGACCTGTGATGAGATAAGAAGATATCCATTTTAAAATGTTAGACACGAAAAACTTAATTTCAAGTTTAGAGTATAGCTACTCCATTCCTTGACATGGCTTTTGTCAATGGACAGATGCCATTAACAAAAGTTTGAATGATTTGAGTTGATTGATAAACTCGTGAAAAAGCAATTTAAAAAGGCTGAACATATCACTATCAGAGTCACAAAAAAAATGTAATTTCATCAGATCAAGATATGTCAGAGGAATTAACAGGAAGGTCTTAATAATTCAGTTTCCCAACTACTTTTACACTAAAAAATACACTCATATTTCATAGCAGCAAAATTATTTTTAAATTTTGCAGCACAAAGTTACAAAACGAACTGAACTGAGTTCCCTAAAAGCTTCAATGTAAGCTTAATGATGCAAACCTTGAGATTACCAAACCAACCATCCGACTTAAATGTTCACCAAGGACGCTCATCGTCACACTAAGCAAACATGTAAAAGAAAAGATGCTGGTGACTGCAGAGAAGTGAGGATATCAGATCTAGTTTTCACACATCCTCTAGTAATAACAGATTTATGAACCTGGATAAATATTAAACACTTTATTAAAAACGTATGGGTCCAGATGAAACAAGCCAATGCTGCTCCTTACATTCACACACAGACAAAACAGCTGTTGCAGACAAACATTTGCATTGCTGAACACAGTGGAATAACAAACATTGGTGAGAGAACCTAAATATATATACTTATTGTAAAAGAGTCTGAAATGGACATTCTTTGATTTGACATAAAAGTGATGTGAAGTCTGGGGGGGGAAAAAAAAAAAAAAAAAAAAAAAAAAAAAAAATCACAATATACTTTCATTGCATTTTACATACAAATTCAAAGATACATTTATTTGAACTTTAACTGAAAAAAAATGTTTTGTCTCGTTCAGGAAACTCAATGTAGTTTAAATAACATTGTACAGTTCAACATAAACGTGATCTTTCAATGAATGAACCTTCTTCAGAGAGGAAACATACGCCAGGTTACACATCAAGTACAAATACACAAGTCTGTATACAGAATTTCAAATACCTTTCAAAAAAACCAACATTATTCATTGTAAGTCTGTCCAGAGACAGTTTTCTTAACTTAGACAACTCCAAGTCATTTAGAGGTCTTTCAGTAGCAAGTTGTTTTCTCAGAAACTTAACATTTACATTAATTAATTAGTGTCCAGAAATAGCCTGAGCAATGTGACAGACTTGTTCAAACACAATATTTTCACGTCTTTCTTCCAGATATTCAGATGACTTGATATTCCACAATTATTTCTTTTTACTATTTTAGACCGTTAAAAAGAACAAAAAACTCCTGCACACGGTCTGCTTCACTTACATTCAGAGATATTTAGTGACAACGTTTAGGGACATAAACCTTCATCGGGTTACTTTACAAGACAATGGGAGAGCATTTCTTAAATGTGTTGGTAGACCAATCAGGTGACACTACAAAATGACACTCACTAAATAAGGAATCCTAATTATCACATCATGGCCACCAAAGGCCGACACTATAAGCATGAAAACATAATTTCATATAGAAAGGGTGTCTTAAAAATAGATCAAAATGCAAATACACATAATGAAGCAAAAGTGCCACACCTAGCACCCGTCAACCTACTGGTGTGCAAAAGCTCTTTTTATAGACTTTGTTAAAAAAACAAAAACAAAAACAACACTTCCCTAAATTACATTCCCTTGTCAAACTCCTACTAAATGTTCGGAGGACTGTATTCATAAAGGCCCTACTGAACAAAACTCTAGAACTCAGATTTACATGTTTTACTGTCGGGGGGCCTCAGCCTCCTTGGAGCATCTCAAATTAAAATGGGAGGAAGACCTTGTGGAGAAGATCTGTAAATCGTCTATTGTAATGATCCAGAAAAGCCTCCATGTATGTCTCACACAGTTTGATCCAATTTAAAATATTTCGCTGCATGCATCTATCGAGGAGTGGACTTTCCCAACCGGTCTATGTTGCAACCAAGACTCAGCAACCCTTATTGGTTCATTTTGGGCAAAGGACTGTGAAAAACACTCTCCAACATGCCTGAGCAGGCCACAGAGCCAGGTCTGTTTTTGGCATTGCTCATAGATCTGAATCTCTCTAGCACCCGGGCCGTTACTTCCTTGTAGCTTTAAGTAAGACGTCTCATTCTATATAATCTAGCTCAACCTATACAGTTGTGAAAAAGTGTTTGCCCCCTTCCTGATTTCTTATTTTTTTGCATGTTTGTCACACTTAAATGTTTCAGATCATCAAACAAAGTTAAATATTAGACAAAGATAACACAAGTAAACACAAAATGCAGTTTTTAAATGGTTTTTATTATTAAGGGGAAAAAAAATCCAAACCTACGTGGCCCTGTGTGAAAAAGTGATTGCCCCCCCCCTGTTAAAACATAAATTAACTGTGGTTTATCACATCTTTGGAAAGCCGAGTTAAATTTCTCTAGCCACACCCAGGCCTGATTACTGCCACACCTGTTCTCAATCAAGAAATCACTTAAATAGGACCTGCCTGACAAAGTGAGATAGACCAAAAGATCCTCAAAAGCTAGACATCATGCTGCGATCCAAAGAAATTCAGGAACAAATGAGAAACAAAGTAATTGAGATCTATCACTGGAAAAGGTTACAAAGCCATTTCTAAAGCTTTGGGACTCCAGCAAACCATTATCCACAAATGGCGAAAACATGGAACAGTGGTGAACCTTCCCAGGAGTGGCCGGCCGACCAAAATTACCCCAAGAGCGCAGCGACGACTCATCCAAGAGGTCACAAAAGACCCCAGAACATCCAAAGAACTGTAGGCCTCACTTGCCTCAATTAAGGTCAGTGTTCATGACTCCACCATAAGAAAGAGACTGGGCAAAAATGGCCTGCATGGCAGAGTTCCAAGACGAAAACCACTGCTGAGCAAAAAGAACATAAAGGCTCGTCTCAGTTTTGCCAGAAAACATCTCGATGATGCCCAAGACTTTTGGGAAAATACTCTGTGGACTGACGAGACAAAAGTTGAACTTTTTGGAAGGTGTATGTCCCATTACATCTGGCGTAAAAGTAACACGGCATTTCAGAAAAGGAACATCATACCAACAGCAAAATATGGTGGTGGTAGTGTGATGGTCTGGGGCTGTTTTGCTGCTTCAGGACCTGGAAGACTTGCTGTGGTAAATGGAACCATGAATTCTGCTGTCTACCAAAAAATCCTGAAGGAGAATGTCCGGCCATCTGTTCGTGACCTCAAGCTGAAGCGCACTTGGGTTCTGCAGCAGGACAATGATCCAAAACACACCAGCAAGTCCACCTCTGAATGGCTTAAGAAAAACAAAATGAAGACTTTGGAGTGGCCTAGTCAAAGTCCCGACCTGAATCCGATTGAGATGCTGTGGCATGACCTTAAAAAGGCGGTTCATGCTCGAAAACCCTCCAATGTGGCTGAATTACAACAATTCTGCAAAGATGAGTGGGCCAAAATTCCTCTACAGCGCTGTAAAAGACTCATTGCCAGTTATCACAAACGCTTGATTGCAGTTGCTGCTGCTAAGGGTGGCCCAACCAGTTATTAGGTTTAGGGGGCAATCACTTTTTCACACAGGGTCATGTAGGTTTGGATTTTTTTTCCCCCTTAATAATAAAAACCTTCATTTAAAAACTGCATTTTGTGTTTACTTGTGTTATCTTTGTCTAATATTTAAATTAGTTTGATGATCTGAAACATTTAAGTGTGACAAACATGAAAAAAAATAAGAAATCAGGAAGGGGGCAAACACTTTCACACAACTGTACATAGCCACTGGGTTGAAGTAGAAATGGTTCATTTGAAGTTGTAAAAACTCAGGTATATCACTCAAGGCTTGGTTAGTAAAATCCAAAGAGTATAGCAACCATTCCTGCACCAAAATAACAGTCTTCACTACAACAACTACAACTTGATGCCTGTAACTTTTAACCATAACCTCAGTTTCCATTTCATCTATTTATTTAATTGTACCATGACTTTTTCTTCTTCCTTTATATTCTTTCGTATTTTTTTAAATGTATTATCTTTGTAACTATTATTAATATCAGTATTTGTTGGTGTGCTGGCCAGACTCCCAGCGGGTTGGGGTGGCTGGATGCAGATGTTGGCATACTGTACATTGTGGTAATGTTTGAAAAACCCCCAAAAATCATTTGATTATAGTTTAATTTTTACTTTGGCTCAAGAACTTCAAATACACATTTTAAATTAACACAAATTCAAATTAGACATTGTCTGAGAGAAACCACATAACCTAGTGATTCCGCAGTGGTCAAAATGATTCCCGTCTAAAATCAAGTGTGTGGTCATTCAACAACACAATACTTTACATGTAAAATAAAGACCTGAACGCCTGACACTATTACACAAGCAGCAACACAAGCTAACCAACGTGTTTACAAACATCTTACATAGGTCTAAAATGTACAACTTTTTGTAACTCATAATCAACATACACACAGACAATAATCACACATCTGTGCACTTCAACTTTAAAAAAGCAATTTTAAATCACATATTCAAAATAGAACACAACCAACCACAAAAAGTGGACATACAACTCAGAAGAAACGAGTGCAAACGCATTCAAATTTAACATGTTTGACTACAAGTTATAAGAAAATGTCTCTATAAATTAGTCCACGGCTCAGTTAGGAGTAGAACTTTAATCTAAACATCGTGTAACTGTGAAGGTGATTTCTTTAAATACATATTGCACTTGACTGTCAGAGTGTTGCCCCTTACGACCTGGAAACAGGATATCTATGAGCGATTACTGGAAAAATAAATGGTTTTGGTGAAAGAGAACCATTTCTGTAGTGAATGATTGTGACATGTGTCACCATGGTATGAAATATAAAAAACGATAAAATAATTGAATAAATGTTGACTGTAAACTGCATTACAAAACAACATAATAGGATAATTTGACACACCAGTCTTTGATAATGGCAAACATCAGTGTTGTGAAATTATGATGTTACAAAGTAAAAATTCTTACAAATTTCCAAAATGCAGAACTAACTATGCACCACAAACACAACATGCTAACGTTGAGTTTTGGCCATTAAAGAGAACCAGACATGTCACTCGGTTTGGAGAAGTGATGCACTCGTCACAATCAGTATCAGTGGGTAAGACATGAACCTCTGCGTCCAAGCAGCGTCAACTCAACAGTACGTTTATTGCACTTTTTTTTAAGCGTCAGTGCAAGAATTGAGTCTTTTAAATCAATTACACATGTGCCTGTGTTCATGTAAGAGGAGCAGTGACAAACCAAAAGACAAAACAAGGCCAGATCCCAAAAAAATAAATAAAAAAAGCAGTCTTTAATCACATTAAATCAAAAGGCGTAATATTTGATTTTGACCACACAGTTTTCTCGTAACTCCAAGCTAATGGAAGGTACGCTGTTGAAGACAGCTGACGTCTGTATTTCCCTAAGCACCGGCAAACAGCAAGTAGCTGGCAGAAATGTGATGTTTTTCTGACATTGCTTAATGACCTCCAGGTCCACAGACGCGTCACAGTTGTCAACTCACTCTGTGCAGGTCACATGAGAACAGCAGCAGACCCCATCCACAGTTCATCTCCAGTTGTAGTACACGTAGAGGCCGGCAAAAAACAGGTTGGATGTCAAGCTGACCAACAAAAGGCCAGGCCAGATAAGACGTTTTATCAAACCTGGAGAAGTCACAGCGAAAGCAAATTAATTCTATGAGAATCGTCATCATTACACATCATTAATGTGGAAAGAATGTTTTCCCCTTTCATGTAAAAATGTTTTACAGTAAATTAATTTTCCTTTAGACTGATATCAGTCTCAGCTAGTTTAAATTTAGGTGCACGTGTATAAGACCATGACAATGTTACAGTTATTTGTTTTGACAGTTGTTTCAGCGACTCCTGGCGGCTGTTTCTGGTACTTGGCTTATGTGCTCATGTCATGTCACTTTGGTCAGGAAGTTGATGTTCTTGGTGGAAGAAGGGTGTTTAACAAGTACATAACTTGTGCAAAGAGGACAGTACAGTGAAATGACTGACATAAGAATCAGTCTACTTCCAGGACAACCTGATGACTCAACTATGACTGATTTTGTCAGGTGCGTCGTTTACCAAGAGCTCGTCACAACGAGTCTGCTGGAATTCAACGACCAAGCAGAGAGTTACAGAGCTCGACCTAAAGCTTGGCTGCAGCAAAGACGACAACCACGGTGGTGCCCACGGCACTCCAACACACAAGTCAGATTGCCTAAACACTCAGCCAATCAGATACTGGCTTTATAAAGCGGATCAGTACCACGCCAACTCATCAAATACACATTTCTGTTTAACTCACTGATAATTCACCCCACACTGCATGAAAGTGTTCGGTATTAAATAAACAAAAATACATTATGAAATTATGAGTACATTGTATAAAATATTGTTTATAAATGACCAAAATACTTTCTGAAATAATATGAAATGTAATTTTATGATTCCTCTTAATTATTTTATTGGAGTCAATTTGTATTTCAAAATCCACTTTAGCATAGCATCCCAATGATGCCGTTGTTTCAAGTCATTTAATTTCAATATGTCTGTTTACCTAATAGCACACGTCATGTCACTTTTCCTGATAACGGTCTTATCAAAGCCCCTCAGTGCCCAACGGCTCGGTGTTTTTTGCTCCGATATGTATCGTTAGCTGTCAGACCATCTTTATAGACTTTTCTCTGTAGTATACATCCATACAACGAAACTGCTTTAAGAAACGATCTCTTTGCGGCCAGTACAGACAGGACCAGTTACTGCTTACCTTTAGGAGGAGGGGTGTTCTCCGGTCCCTGCGTAGTAGTGCCGACTAAGCATGCGGAAGACTCCGAGGAGCTGCCCCGCCTCTCTTCCTCTTCAATCATACTACCGTCCCTCAAAAAAGAACTCAAATCTGCAAAGCCAAATCATAAATCCATAGATAAAATGACCTTAACATTTAAGTTATTAATAAACATGAAGTCATTTCTCTCTGTTAAGCCACTATATGTAGGGTTTCAGAATGCCATCCGCTAAAACCCCCAAACTATGAACAGTTCACTTGTATCAGGATAACTCACCGTTCTGGCTTTGGAAGGGTGATGTGTCAGGTGAAAAGCAGCCACTGTAAATGGAAGAGGCCGACTTTGCATGGAAATGTGACGAAGACACTGACGGGGACATGAGTGCCGGTTCTGGCTCCGTGGAGAAAAGCCGGAGTTTCCGACCACTGATGTTGAGGCGAGCCGGGCTGATGAGGGGGCGCCGTTGTCTGGCAGAACCTGAACTGGATGTCACCGACCCGGCTACTGAAGGAGGTGGAGAGGGGCCAGGGGATGACGGGCGGCTCCCAGACATCAGTGAAAAGTAATCTGGGCCAAAGTGCGGCAGAAAATGTCAACCAAGTGTTCTGAAATTGTATAAAATAAAGAAGAAAATAAAGTGGAGATCACAAAAATCACCAGGAGTTTTAGTACCTGAGGGCAGGGAGTCTTTGTATTGGGAGGCTGGTCTGCTTCCACTAAACAGGTAACCAGAATCTGAAAATAAAGAAATAAACAATCACACCATTCACCACAACCATGAACCAGCGCTTTCCTTCAACATGCTGAAACATAACTACAAATAAAAGCCAATGTTTTGTGTTTGATAAACCTAAAAGTAGGCAACTTACTGCTATCAAATTAAGGCACGGCAATTAAAAAAAAGTTAGTGGGATGTGGTGCTGGTCTATCCGTCAGCGTATTTTGATCAAATTCAGCCCCCTAGTGGAAAGAAACTATAAATGCAGCTCGAGCTGCAACTATCCATTTTCATTTCCGATTTATCTGGCAATGACATTCTCAATAAGTCACTCATTTATAGAATGTCACAATACTGAAAAATATCAATTAATATTTCTTAAAGTCAATCGTGACATCTCCAATTGCTTGTTGTGTCCGATTGACTGAATATCTCAGGATATTAACTTATAGCAAGAATATTCAGTCAACTATCACACAAGACATAGAAATGCAGCAAATCCTGCTGTAGCTGGAACTTTGTTGGGTTTTTTTGCTTGAAAATACTGTCAAAATAGTTGCAGAATAACTTTCTGTGGATCGACAAATTGATTAATCGAATAAACATTTTAGTTTTAAATGCACCATTAAATTATAAAATGTAAAGCTGTATTTAGAACAGCTTTAAATTCAGTAGATGCATGTACAGCATCATAGTACTTCCATTATAAATTTAATTTCTGCAATATATAAAACAGCTAAAATGAAAAATGTATCATCCAATATTAGCTTATTGCTGATAAATCTGTATCTGCATGCATGTTAACCAATAATTAAAGGTCCATTAAAAAAATGTCTGCATTACATAGTTTGTCCTCCAGAGGGCATTGACCAGATGTATTTAAACTATAAAAAGTTGTGCTTTCTTTTTTTATAATATAAGAAAAGAATGCCTCGTGGCATGAACCATATAGTGCATCTCTGACAGGAAAACACCACTCCTTCACACATATCTTTCACAGAAAACAGTGAGTCTTTCCCGTGTTTGGAAAGAGTGATATGACCCAATTGGACGTAAATCTACTGAATCTCATCAATTATGAATCTCGTCTGTATGCACATTGCTGGAGCAACTCAAGATCAAACTTGTCTGAGCAGCTATGCGACAAGAACTGGAGGCAGAAGTGGGCTGAATATTCCCACCTACCCTGTTCAACTCAATTCAATTTATTTTGTATAGCCCAAAATCACAAATTTGCCTCAGAGGGCTTTACAATCTGTACACATGCGACATCCTCCATCCCGGAACAGTTAAAAATTCCCCACGGTACCAAATCTAATCACAAGATTATACCAAACGGCATAGAAAAATCTGCCAGTACGATCAATTGCTATTTTGTCAGTCAACTCACACTAAATGAGATCTTTTGAACGTTACCTGTCCTGGTGAGGGAGGGGGTGGTGCCGAGGCAGAGGGCTCGGCTGAGGCGCCCCGGCAGAGAGGAGGGGGAGGCCTTGCGCTCGTGAGGACTCTGTTGGCAGTGCATGAGCTTGAAGAGGTTGGGGGGCGGCGTCAGGACGAAGGAGTCTGCCAAGTCCAGAGAAAGCAAAGGAGGCTGGCTGCTGAGGGGGGGGCCAGCAGCGCTGCCTGCAAGGTATCTGCAACACAAGAGCAACGTAACGGTCTACTAACTGAAATCAAAATGTTAACAGAACTGTCAAAATGTTTTAATGCTACAGATAAAGCACACGAAAATCGTACCGTTTCCATAGAGGACTCCATCAGTGCTTTACAATTCGTGCTTTACAGACTTGAATTTTTTATTTCTTGTGTAAAGAAAGTAACTTTCAAATGTGATTTATCTGTTCCACACCAACGTCAATATACTATTTCACAAGTGCATGTCTGAAATCAAATCGTTGTGCCACACGGCTCCGCCATTTAATGTGAGCACTTTATTAACGGCAGCCGTCACTGAAATGCTGCTGCAGCTGTCGGACAACGTGCAGCAGCTGAAAGCTCATAAAGAACAAAAGCTCTAGATGCTGCCCAGCAATACAGCTCAACTCTCTCACATCTCCACAACAGTCAGTCAGTCAGTGGCCCATATGTGTGTGTCACAGTAGTTTGTATTCAGCAATGGAGACTGTTGATAAAGTTTGTCTTTCTAAAAAAAAAAAAAAAAAAAAAAAAAAAAACAGTCTAGGCCAGCATTAGGGTAATATTTTCCCTCGACTCCAATGCTGTGTAATAAGGTCTTAAATACTGGAGAGAAACATACAGAAATGAACAATATAGTGTTTGCGCTGAAAACAAACAGAGGCATTTCCTTTCAACGGCCGTTTATTACATTCCATGTAAAGCAAGCATTCATACAAAGTCTTCAAATTGGAGCCTTACATTAAAAGCAAGACACCCAGTTTCAGCATAAGAGCGACCAAAACGTATGTATGATGCAGGACACCTTTCAGAATGGACGGACTATTTAGCTTATTCAGATTATACAAATTATTGCTTTAATTGTTTATTACGCATCAAGATTTGGTATTATAACCTTTCATTTTTTAAGTATCAGTTCTTTTAGTGTTTCTGCAAAACACACACAACTAAACACATTCCGGTATGACACAATCTTGTTAACTACATATGTATAGTGACACAGTGCAGTAAAAACATCGACATTCACAACTCCATTAGTAAAAAAAAAAAAAAGTCATTTCTACAGCCATCACTGTTAAAACACCATGAAAGGTTTCTGGAAATGGTATAATGCTACAGTTGCATTTCCAGTTATTATTAACGTAAATGTTTGAAGATAATGATAGAGTTAAACCACATGGAAAACTTAACAGTCATACAATTTATCAGGTAGATACAGTTCTCTAAAAAACACACAAATAGCCAAATACCGGGCTGGATATTATGCATATATATCACAGCAAAACAAACCTTCTAGCACAGCATGTACAACTAAGACAAAGATAAACAAAAAGGTAAAATTACACCATTTCTGAAATATTATGCTTTTCTTACTTAAAATGGAGGTGCAGACCAGTGTGAGCTTCAATGCAAGTGCATTAATATTTCATCATATTGTATCTCTATCTATCTCTTGACTTCATCAGGGTGGATGAAGGCCGGATGCAATAAAGCATCGTGTCCTGCAGAACAGTTGAGTGATGCGTTTTAATTTTTATGATTATTATCCTTGTCAAGAGTTTAACAGGCAGTTTGTTACATGATGCATTTATGAAAGGTAAAAAAAAGAAACGTAATTACCGATAGATGCTAAGGCATGATGAATCGATAGTCGACACATTTAACACCATGCTAACGAACTATAGCATTGCAATATATCCAAAAAAAAGTTAAATCACAGCTTCTGCAAATTACTATGTAGGTTTTAGGAAAGTATCTGCAGCGTCTTACATTGAGCAGCACTTTAGTTGCAAACAACAATTTAAAGCTTTGAGAAAACTACACCAAAAGATGCCAGTTTGAGAGCATAACTCCAACTACAGCACAGAGCAACATGCAATCTAAACTCCAGTTACAGTGCTCTCTCCACCAAACACAACCTACAAACACATTCTACAGCTACGAGTTTGTAAAACCTTTTCACATTACCGTCAAATAAATATCCCTCTTCACTCAACACATTCCAAAAAAGAAAACCAAAACGGGCCAATTTGGCCAGAGGCGAAACGTTAGCGCATGCAACTAGTACATCCATCAGTGCTTTTAATCCATCAACATGTTAGAATGTTGGCAAAGGACAGTTCAGTATTACTGGAAGTGATCAAGAGAAACAAAAGGTAAGTGTTGAAGAAGCTGACAGTCCAACATCTCACTTGAGACTTACTTTAAAATGATGTCAACATGTTCAGGCACTGATACCACAGTGTCACCAGAAACTCTTACTTAGACGCGATCACCTCGAGCCAAGAACCCGACAGGTAGAAAACATTCTGGAGCATCGGCTTTTGGCACAGCAGAGCGTGACAAAAACACAATTCAATTAAAAGTATACAAAGCAAAAATAAACGTCAGGTATTACCGGTTGACAGTTAGGTCCTTGCTTACGACTCCACGCAGAGGGAAAAACTGAAGTATAATAAAAATGGGAATCACAGCACAAGATGACAACAAATGGGACGAGGAGAAGAGCAGCACACAGCAGGGCCTTCCAACCAATGACCGATTTTTTGGAAAAACGTTGATGAACGACGGACTGCTTTTCCCAGGTAGTAATGTGTTTTGGTTTTCAAATGGCAATATGCATAAGAACCTCACACTGCCGTGTGCTAACATTCCCATTGTTAAAAAAAAAAAAAAAAAAAAAAGAGAGCGAGAAGAGCAACCGTTACAACTATTGATCAAGAGTCACAGAATCTGTACTGTCCAAATGAAAATAGTAGCCGAATCACTACAAAGATATCACGGAAAAACCTTCTACGTCTGGCCGGAGAGCTGATGCGTTGTTTCATCACCGATGTTGTATTCCCGAGAGGTTCCTAACGGACATTAGTTACACATAAACAGCAGCTTCAAACGACTCACGATGGAACACTTTTTGGAAATATTCAACGTCCTTCTTCAATCAGAAGTTGTATACGACGTGATGCAATACAGTCTCCACAAACTAGTACTTCATGCAATGAGCTGTAGTAAGTAAATGCTATTCAACCCACAGCTAAGCCAGTGTTAATAAATAAATGAGAACATTCAAAATACATTGTTTAGTGTAGTACTAAAGTTAAAATACTGCTATATTGGCTTGAAAACAGTCAGTCCATCACACATTTGCTATAGTAAATAAGGAATTGTCACTGTAATCAGTCATAGATTCAAATTTTTGAATCGAGAGAAAATGTGGCACAATTTCCCACAAAACACATTCTGTAAAGTGTATTAGTGTTGGTTTCTTAATTCTTAATTCATTTTTGAATTTCCTGAAAGACTCTCGAGTCAGTTTCTTTCATTGAAACAAATCTATCATTGAATCAAACCAGAGGGATTAGGAATTGTTAGTTGTCCGTACCTTACCACTTTATTTATCATCATTTGTTTTAATACCATTTACTACTTCAGTCAATATCAGCCTCTGACACTTCACACAAAACAAACACCTGTAGACTATGTGCCTGAAGGTGAGGCTTTGATGTGGTTCAGCAAGTTGTTCTTGTGTTCTCTTCCTATCATGGGCCACACACACAATCCTTTGCTTCAAGTCTGCCATTCACATCATAACCTCACAGTCATTCGCACACAGCAGTAAAAAGGAGTAAAAAATGGACAGTGAATAAAAACAGCTCGTTCCGTTAAGGAATACATATAGGTAATAGATTGTGTTTCAAACTGGTTCTAATTAACACAATGCTCTTGTGGAAAGATGAGTCTTTACAAAACCCCATATTTTAAACACAATTTGAACATTACTGCCCAGATTCTGACCTTCGATATCTGGCTCTTCTTGGACCCAGTGGTTTGCGAGTTGCCACAGCAGCGGCAAAGCTGACTAGGCAACAGAGGGAGACAGTGCCGAGCTTGGCAATGTCCATCCAGCCCGAGGCATCAGTCGAGTAGCCCTCAGCCAGGTGGAGGCACAGGACGAGGAACCACAAGACAGAGGCTACAGCATCAATTCTCCTCAACCTGAAAATAGAGCAACACATGAGCTTGCAGAGTTTGTTTTGTTTGAATGTATCTGTCTGGGATGACCCTTCCAAAAGGCAAATAAAGAGGCAGTGGCTACTTACCTCACAGATCCTGCTAAGAAGATAGCAGTAAGACAAGTCAGCAGGCCAACGGAGACTACAGCCAACTGGTTGTCCTTTCCATGCTGCCAAACCAGCTTCACATTATCTACGACCTCATCTGGGAGCAGCTCCTGCAGACCCTGCCATACAGGCACGTCTCCACTAGTGTCGTTGTTGGGGCTGGACTCATTGTGAGGTTTGGGCTTTGGAGGAATGACCCCACCACTTAATGTCTGTGGGCCACTAAGCGATGTAGGCTGGTATGGCAAGTCACACAAAGATGTAGCAACTAGGAAAGTACAAATCAGGAAGGTAAGGGTCCGTAACAGTACGACCCCAGTGGGAGAAGACACAGAATGGGAGCTCTGTGGGAGAAAAAAGATGTTTTTGATGGGAATCCTGACATTTTCACAACATACAGAAATCAATAAGCTCTGCATAGACGAATGTTGACATAAAATAATAAGAACAGGCAACAAGACATGATGGAGGGTGAATCTGATTGATGTTTTCACTATGAACAAAGACTACACCAGGGGTGTGAAAGCCAATTAAATGAAACCCAAACAGAGAGAGTACTGGCGGCTTAAATTGCCAAAAAACAGTTAGTACATAGGAGTGTAATTATTACTGGTGTGGCAGAAGAATTCTCTTTAATTAACTTTGACCTTTCTTTGAAGTGCGGCAACATGTTAAGCAGTTTAGATAAACGATGACAATCAAGAATTGATTTGTACGCTAATTATTTTGAATATGTATAAGCAATAACCGATCATAAAAGAGTTTAAATATAGACAGTTTCTGTATGCCAAGCTCAAGCTCGTAACTTTGCAAATGCAAAGCTTAAAGAAAATAAATGAAGGATTGACTAAGACTCTGCTGGAAATGTGTGTATAATTTACTAGTAGCTACAAAATTAAACTGAGGATATCTTTTCTTATGGAATAAGTTGGCATAGCGTTTTACTTCTAATCATCTTCTAAGTATATAAAGATTTTGCATTCTCGCGTTCTAGTGAGCAACAGTGATGGAGTAATTAAAATTAATTATCTGACAAAAATTCATTCATTCACACACTTTGCTTGCTAGACGTCTGTAGTCTTGGCCTTTGCCTTGCACTGACCTTTATGAAGCCCTTGTCTGATTCTCCGCTGCGTCGAAGCGGATGGTTTAGGAGCACGGTTCGAAGTTGCCGGTTTTGATATTTTATGTAGTATTCTACTACTGTCTGACAAGGCCTGCATAACTTATAGGTCTGCTCCAGGTGGTGCTTGTATGCCTCGATTTCCTCATCGTAGTTGTCCTTCAAAGAAGACAAAGAATTATAAATCTAGTGTTTACAGTCAGTAATGGTAACAGTAAAGACATTGTTGTAGAAAATAGAAAAGAACAGAGTACATACATCATCCCGGGGGACAAATGAGGCCAGCTGCTTTATTACGACAGTCTGGTTCTTAGAGCACTTTCTGCACAAGAGCATCTGACTGTTAACCCCTTGCTGTGGCTTGGCTGTCGAGGGAAGGCCACCAGATACTCCGTGGTTAAGATGCTCCATGTACTGAGCCGGGATGGGTTTGTTGTAATCCCCATTCTGAAAACGAGACAGGTCAACAAAAAGACTAGTATAAAAACACATCTTGCAGCACAGGCACAAAGAAATTAAAAAAAAACAACTAGTTACTTGCAATTTATTGACATGCTAAAACATAATTCACAGGTGTCGTGTACTTTTGAAACTAACCTCCTGGAAGCCATTGTATTGATCACAATTGGGACAGTCCCAGCAGTTCCTGTTCCCAAAGGGCACCACAGAATCCTGATTACAAAACCAGCAGTTCACGTCTGCGTGGGATGGCTTTTTCCTGTAAATAGGAAGTGGACTCCTTACATGATGCTGTCAATCAAACCTGCCAATGTGTTTTTGAGGTAGAAGTATCACTACTATATTAATGACGCACTACTTGTCTTATATACTGAGTAAGTGTATTACATGGTTGAATATTATGCCAATCTGTTAGCAGGTCCTTGATGTTTGGGAAGCACTGGTGTACCATCTCTTTTTCAAAGGGGGTCCAAACATATATCACAATGACTGCATAACAACACCGGTGCAATAGATTAAATACAAAATATAAATCAATACAGCAAAGTACAGAGAGACAAAAATCCCACATATATTAATTGATGGAAACATTAAAACACCACGGTGGCTAAAGTGACCAATAAAAGACAAACCGTAGTGTTCGTGGATCACCAAATACAATAAGATCAGATATCCACGTAATGTTTATACAGTGACGGCTTCACAAGAGATGTGCGACATATAACGTTAACCGATATGATAATTAAAAATAACTGAATCAGCATTTGATTAAGGTATGCACACAATAGTTTTCAAAAAGCAAAAACTAGAAAATATGTGCATTCAAATAGTGAAAAGCAATATTCATCTTAACGTTAATGTCGCAAAACTATCTTAAATTAGTTAGCAACACAGCTAGCAAAGTTAGCACTCGGTCCAGCGTAACGTTGGAAAAGAGACGACTCTTGGGAAATGGGAAACATATCAGGGCATTTTTGTTTGCAAGATTATTTCTTGAATGTCACAATTTTGAAACAACCAATGCAAATGTTGACAATTGTTTGCTAACTTGCACTAACGTTTACGTGAATCTAGCTAAAACACATGCAGGACCTTGAAGTTACCTGGTGGCAATTTTGTATATCAGCGCTCCAACGGCGACAGACGCCGTAGCTCCGACTCCACTGTACATTAACTCAGGATACTCCAACATAAGCTGGTTTAACGCCTCCATATCTGCTGCAAGTAGCAATGAAAGCTAACAAAACACGAGAAATATAACGCTAAGGTTTGGTATCGCAAAACACGGCGCGAGAGCGCACGCGGCAAGCGATCCCTTTTGTTCACGCCCATAAAACGGAAACGGAAGCTGCGTAACTGCCTGGACGCATTCCAATATGTGTTATTCATTCCTTCTTGTTGACTGCACCGTTCTTTAAAACCACCCATGATTAAACTATTACATGAATCGAAATGTTTTCACCATATTTTGAGTGTCTTAGGTAGAAGTATTTAAAAAAAATTGAAATCAGTCACACTTTTGTTTGATTCTAAGCAAAGCGTAGTGTAGTGAACGAGGAGTGTGATAGTGTTGGAATGTGAGAGGAGACTTTTACCTCTCATCATGGTTTAAACCTCAAAATACTACTGTGCATTACTATTCTTAAAAAAATGAACTTGTATGCTGTCAAAGAATACTTACCTTCTGAAACGTGCAGCTGCATCCTGTTACCTAACGTCACCCTGCCAAATGTCAAATGTCATGGCCAGAGGTTGAAAGCAACTAAGTACATAATATACTTCTACTCCACTACTATTCAGAATTAAATATTGTACATTTACTCCACTACATTTGTTTCATAACGTTAGTTACTAGTTTCTTTGCTGATTCAGATTAATATTATAATAATACATATAATCTACAAACAAATGTAAGAGACATGAATATCTTTTTTAAAGTAATTAACTAGATCAACTTGATGTAATGTATCATAATTATAGTTAAACAATATAATATGCATTATTTGCAATTGGATGATGAGTAATTCTACTTTTGGTTCTTTAGGTGAAGTTTTCTGTTAATACATTTGTACTTTTAAGTAGATTTTTTTAATGCATGACTTTTAACAGTGTATTAGAAGCTCTAGGCTAATTCTTCCACCATTGATCATGGTACTGTTTTTGAGGACAGTTATTTAAATAATATCAACAAAGCTTATATCTTGAGAGATAAACGTGACAGTCCTTGCATCAGTTAATTAACCGCTAAAACTTTGAAAGCTGAACACTCTAATGACTTTTGTATATTAGCGTACTGGCGTTACAATGAATGAATAGATACATGCAGTAAAGGAGTAAGTCAATCAATACGAGTAGTTAATGCAAAAATAACATTTTATTTTAACAAACATGATGTATTCTACATCAAGTGACCATAACTCATCAGTACTTCGATGTGCCCAACAGTAGCAGCACAGAGAATTGCACAAAACCAGAGAAATAAAATAAATAACATAATTACAAATAGTTTGTTCAAAAGTAAGAACATTTAAAAAATGTAAAAAAAACAGCAATAAGTAAAAAGGAAATCAAACAAAAACGTTTATTTGGCTTCAAATAAGTCTTCAACAAAAGAGGCATCAACTAAGCCTCAGACTCAAATCAACTGTCTTCCTGAAACTTGAACGGTGATATTTCTAAAACAAAATGTGATGCGTAACGTTGACGTCACTGACGGAAATTCCTTGGCATTTGGAACTGTGGCCTATCGATCAACTTAATCCAACAATTTATCACAGTTAATTCACACATTTCTGTACCTTAACAACAAACTACCAAACAATCAATGTTGTCTGCCAAACGAGTGACAGCCCACGTTAAGCAGATGAACCTTGAGTCAGTGAACTAACCGGCTGTCAACGGTCAATAAATCAAAACTCTACTGGTCATAGGAGTAAACTCGCGGCGCCTCCGCTTGTCTTGCATAGGTGGTGAGCTGCTGGTAGTTACATGCCATCGAAACGGTGCCCCCGCCGGGGCTCATCGACTGGGTCACTGCGCCGTAGGGACACCCATTGTGCGGCACCAGCACGGGCGGGTGGCGGTGGTAGGCGCCGTAGGGAGAGTGATGGAAGTGGGGGGACGAGCAGTACGAGCTCACCGGGCCGCTCGGGGACATGACCTGAGGTGTCGGGTATGCGGACTGCTGGGGCAGGCTCCAGGAACTGCTCATGTAAGGCTGCAGGTAGAACGGATCGGAATAGTCCACGGAGTTCCCGGTCAGACAAGGCACGCTCGGGGGTCTGTAGGGTCTCCTCACCCTCCTCCGCCGCCGGTAGTTCCCCTTGTCGAACATATCCTCAAATGCGGGGTCCAGCATCCAATAGTTGCCTTTTCTGTCCCTTCCGTAGTCCCGGGGAATCTTGACGAAGCACTCATTGAGAGACAAATTGTGTCTTATGCTATTTTGCCACCCTTTTTTGTTCTTCTCGTAGTAGGGGAACTTGGAGATGATGTGGTCATATATTCCACTGAGCGTTTGTCTCTTGTCGTGGCTGTCCTTGATGGCCATGGCAATGAGAGCCACGTAAGAGTACGGCGGCTTCCCCTGCTGGCCGGCCTCCTCCTCACCTTTGGGTTCAGACAGGGGCGAGTTGGAGCTGATGTCCAGGAGCTGTACTCCCTGGTCGGCGGGGGATTCCTGCACTGCATCCATGGGCTCAGGTGTCCGTTTGTGCGTCCTGCGAGGGCAAAAATGCTGCAATCTGCGGAGCAAAGCCAGGTAGCGCTGTACCATTGTGTCCGCAGGTGCACACACTCCTCCCACAGGTAGAGAGGGCAGCAGTTATCGCTATCTTTCATCTCGCCGGGTTTCTCACGCTGTTTATGCCACTGTATGCGACTATGTGTGCAGTCTGTTTAGGTTGAAACAGGGGTCACAGGACTGTGTTGTAACAATAATCGACATATACACTTTGGAGCGAGGCGATCAAAGACGAAGTTGAGTTTCGTTGAGTTTGGTGTTCAGTGTGGGAAAAGTCATTCTCAACAGATGGAGATGGACGCACTGTCTTTTGAACAATGTAAAATAAATATACACATTTATTAACGTAAATTCAGTTTACAGTGCAGGTTAATGCACTTCAGGGATTATTTCACTTCACAAATTTGATTTGCTACCGACAAAACAAGGATAATCACAAATAATATATATTTTAGGAAAAAAAAAAAAATAATAATATATATATATATATATATATATATATATATATATTTAAACAAAACAAGCCTTGAACTTTTTTTGACCAACTTTTCGATCCCTCCCAAATGTATTTATTCGGTTTTCAGTGTCAGTAATATGCTATCAACATATTCCTGTTTACAGTTAAAATAAAATAAAAATGAAGAATAAAATATATAAATAACTTTCACAATAAGAAAAATATACAAAAGACAATAATAACCATGGGATGATAAAACACTAAAAGAACTTGAGTTTACGAAGTCACATTTAGACTGATTTGGACAGAAGACAAATCTATTCAAAACTGGTTAACCATGATATTTGCATAAAGACTGACACTAATTGTAATTAGTTTGTATACTACTATAGCTTGTTAATTTATAACGCCTTATCTTATCCTATCCGATATAATAAATCCTAATTATTTTTTTGATTACATTTTTTGTTATAAACTCCAATCCACAAAGTAACTAAAATGATCAAATACTAGTGGAGTAAAAAGTGCAATATTTGGCTCTTAATTGTAGTACAGTAGCAGAAAATGAAAATACTAAAGCAAAGTACAAGCACCTCAAATTTGTACACTCAAGTAAATGTACTTAGTTACTTTCGACCACTGCACACAGGAGCTTTTATTTTTCTTCTTTTTTTTTTAATAGCTTCACACATTAGTTCAACTCAGAGGCATGTGATAGTTTGGTATTTTCAGATTAATATGTTACAGACTATTGAGACTTGCAGGTATCAGTGCAGCATACCACCCACATACAGTGAGGCATGAACAGCAGGCCTGTCTGTCCGCTGAGGATGGTAGATAATGATCACCTGCTCTCACCAGACAGGTCTGTCTGCCTGAACTGATTGGGAAACACCGATCTCAAAGAGTCAGCAACAAGTGGAAAGGCAGCTATACGTCTTTGGCAAGGATCAGAGGGAATTTTGGGTTGGCCATTGTTATCGCTGTAAGGGTATTAATTGGAGCTACGCTGAATACATTTCTTAAACAATACAAGTTTTGGCAATGAATCATAATCAAAGATAAGGTCTTAATTGTTTTTTGAATAAAGTTTATACAATTCAGAATTAAGGGGACCATGACTTTGTCAAACCCGGCCCTCAATAGTCCATCATTTTGAATTACTTTTTTATGGAGAATCATCACTCAGACCCTAAGAAAAGAAAACTCTATCATCCCATGTTTTCCAATGACATCAAAAATATCATGCTGAAATGCTAAAAAAATTCATATACAATTATACACAATACATCTGGAGTGTTTAGTTATCTTTAATGGTGCAGTAATAAAATAATGTTAATTAAATAATCACTATTAGTCAATATAAGAATGCTATGCAAGGGACGTTTCAGGCCACCCTGTACTGTTAATGAAAAGCTTGTCTCATTCATGTAGTCCAGGTAGACATTATGAAAATGGTACAGTCAATCACAGGATGTTCTTATCCATGTTCAGGATCTTTCTTTTATTAAATGTAGACTTTATGGCCAGAGAGAGTCAATGAGCTACTTTTCCTGACTCTGTAGCAAATTTTGCTGACACACTGGTTCAGGAATGAGTTCCGATAGACTCCTATGTCTCATCTGCTCCCCTGCTCTGTTTTTTACTGATGAAAATGATAAATGGAAACTGGACAGCCTTCTGTCCAATTTCTCACAGAGAAAGCTAGATTTACCTCCTGATGTCATATGAGCGAAGCGAGGCGCCAGGCTAAACACAATCTGTGTAGTTTAAGCTATCTGAGACGAAAGAAGAATGCAGCAAAACTGCCAAAAACAAAGATCATGAACGGCAGGTTTAGACAACGGAAGAAATGAGGTGATGCAGTCCTCAAAAATCCTCAAACAGCCCTAAAGTCTGACCCAGAACAGAAAAAAAGACTTCATGGCTTTATTCAAGTATATCTTATAGACAGCATTTACATTTAGAGTGATAAACTTAAGTTTATGATAAAATATAATTGATGCGATCTGTTCAAAACACACTTCCATTTAAAGCGTCAAGAATTTAAAGATATTTCTTATTTATTTTCAATACTGTGCAACAGTTTTATGAATATGCATCATTCTTGCTGTATTCCTATATCAATTAAGGCTCTCAAGAACATCTCTAAAATCAACAGATTTATAGATTGTAAGGACAAGTTTGTCTCTATTTCTCTTTAATTAATGGAGAGCTATCAAACATGCCACACTGCTGCTATTTATTGGAAGGATAGAAACCCAAAATATCAGTAAAATATTACTTGAAGATATCGATGATGTACTTGTGTCTGACTAACAAACAAAACAATAATTTGAAAATATAATATAACTTACAAATGTAAGTAGCTGGTCAGATCGATAAGAAATATGAAAAATGAGAACTTGACAAAGCTGACATGTGCAGCTCTTTGAGGGCTGTTTTAAATGCTGTGTATTGGTAAATATCTCTAGATATTGTGTATTAATGAAATGGCATTATTAAAAGCACCTGTAAAGAAATAATGCCATACTCTAAGTCAATTCCAATACCTTTAATGTAATGACTTCTCAATAATCCATTAATGTAAAAGTACAGTTAACGGAGTAATACTCCAATCACTAAACAATAAAATTAGCATAAAGTTACACGTCACATTATCTCATAATGATTATTTTGTTATTATTACATTGACAGAAGTGTTGAGAGGTATTTGGAGATATTATGTAACTTGGACTACGCACTTGTAAAGTATTTCGTGTTGGAGGAGAATTAACTTAATATGTTTAAAGACCATGTTTGACATCACTGAGTAGATTTCAAGGAGTTCTCGATAATCTCCTGAAACCCAATAACATTGAAATCATTATTTGAACTGAAATAATGTTACTATAAAAAAATAAGTAACCTCTATCAAATGAATATGAAATGTGTTACTTTATCCTGATCATTACACAATGAAATGTGGACTGTTGCTACTGGAATAATACAATTATAAATTGAATTGTACACAGTAACACATTTATTTATGATAATATATTTATGTGGGACAAGTTTCTTTTTTGTTCAGAATTAGAAAAAAAGCACATTTTCCTCTGTTTCCTGGCAGAGAAAGTAACAAAGTACATTTACTTAAGTACGTTTTATAAACACGATTAGTTAAATATTAGAATATTCTACTTCGCTCTCTATTACTGTCTGACAGTACACTGTACGTTTAGAAATGTTGTGTATTTAAAGTAGTTAACGAGACCACCTGAGCCAACATTGTAATGACACTCATAACTCAATGCAGCCTTCTTTTTGATGTACACTTTTAATTTATTCTAGAGGTACATTTGTTGTTTATACATGCAAAAAAAGTAAGTATATTCTGCGTGCTTTTGCTTATAATGGTGTATTTTTACAATCAAGTATTGCTTTTATGCACAGATGGTGTCTACACAGCTGCACTAGTCCAGAACTCCTCTTAACAGAACAGGTGGCTCAACAACACCTCTGCTTCTCTTCTTCTTCTTCTTCTTCTTCCTGCATGCTGTCAAGGGAAGACAAGTTGAAGGTTGTGTGTGCTGTTGAGGCAACAGGATACCTTGCTCTTTAGGTGCTGAGTGATGTCCAGCTGCAGACATTTTCTCAGCTCCCGGCTTTAAAATGGTTGCTCCTCTGCCCTTTCCAGAATCACACAGATTACACTCCTTATCCTGTTGATTAATCATGCCACTCTATTACAAATCAATTTTGGGTCATTACAACAAAGCGTCATATTTGAGAGAGATAGTTTGCCTTTGGCTAATTATTTCACAGTAATCCTTTTTCACAGCCGACATTTTGACTTGTAGTAGGAAGTGCTAGGTGTTACTGATAACATTGAAGGTGGCTCCCTTGCATTCTGGTGTCCCAGTGAGCCATGACAGTTAGTCAGCGAGCCAGCAAGCACAATACTGAGGCCTTTTGATATACACCTGTGCTTTTCCTACTGTGAAGTTTCAAAATGTCTGCTGGCTTATTACCTATCATCCTCTCAAGAAAGACAAAGAACACAAATGAAATAATGTAACTGATACTCTGCAAAGTTGGCAGGTAATCAATGATTAGGGATGTCATTGTGAATATACTATAGTCGATTGTGAGTAAATCCAATGGGGTTATGAGTTAAATCTCATCAATAACTGTAATATTAAAAAATAAATTGAAATAGTGATACGTTACTATGGCATTGCTGTAACATGCTACAGAACTAAACAATCAGTTTCAATAATGGATTATACTTTATTATATATTTTACAAGCTGACAAACTTTAAACATTTAATTAATTAATTTATTTATAAATCAGGAACTGATCACTGAACAAAATGAACAAGCAGAAAAAAGTATAGTTTGACTGCAGTGGGGCGTAGGTATGAAATCGGACACACCAGGGCACCTGTAAAGCTGCGATCAGTGATAAAAGGAAATGCCAGTATGTGTCCTGTCTAAACACAAGTGCATGTGGCAGACCTCAGTCGACTCCTTGACTTACAGTAGTCATTT